CTCGCTCTTGCTCAGGCTGGTTTCCAACTCCTGAGCTCAAACAATCCGCCCGCCTCGGCCTCCCAGAGAGCTAGGATTACAGGCGTGAGCCACCGCGCCGGGCCAAACCTCATGCTTTTTGATCAGACAGGATGGAGCATCTTTATGGTAACAAGTAACTCAATGATAAATATTTGCTGAGCACTTTTTTTTTAAATGCCAGGCATAGTATCAAGTACTGGAACAATAGCAATGCGCCAGGCACAGCCGCTTCCCTGAGAACTGTCTATGCGAGGCAGAAAGTGGGCGAACAGGCACATAAGGTGGGAGCCGTAAAGCTGGGCGGCAGACGAGCTGTGGACGTGTCAGCAGGGGCGGCACACGGACAGCAGGGGATGCTGAGTGAACACCGGCTGAATGAATACCAAAAAGGCTTTTTTCTTTATTTCTTTCTGAAGGAAACAGGCCAAGTGGCCACGTAGCAATTAGGGAGAAGACTAGGAAACAGGAAAGCAAAATGTAAACTTGGTCACGGGGTCACCAGCTTTCTACGAAGGGCACGATCCCTGGGAGGCAACTGGCTGGGCAGGTCCAAAGGCTGTGACACTCAGGATGCTCGGTGCAATCGTAAGACAGGATGCCAGATGGCTGGGTGTCCCTTATATACAAATATGTTAGGGGACCTTGATGATTTCTGTCTCCACAGATCTGTTGCTCTACCCAAAATATGGTTCCTTTCCATTTTATTTTTTTGCTCCATTTTTTTTTTCTAAGACAAACCAGAAAGCAAGAGTAAAGAAATCTAAGTTTCTGTAAGTTACAACAGACTTTCCAGGGAACCTGTGTAATTTTAAATGTCTTTTATCCGTTGCCAACACTAGGAGCAAAGCAGCCATGTCCACCGGGAGAAGGCAGCCGCGCATCTGTTCAAGCCTGAGCGTCCAGAGCTGATGCTCCAGTGCAAACGCTTCTTACTGTAATCGCCATCATTTTCACTTCCTGCTTATCGGTACAGTTCGAATCCAGGCTTCGCTGTATTAAACTTCCCTGGCCTCATAAAATGAGACATGAGATAACACTGAGTGGCTAAATTTAAATTTAAGTAATGAAAGCAGATGTTGAATGATCAAAAAAATTAAAATCCTACTGATAAGATTCACATGAGCCTAGCCTGGGATAAGAGAACGTTTTCTTTTTGGAGGAAGAGCTAGGTTTTAAAGCTGAAACTGCAAAAGAATGGGTGTCCCTGTGTGTTGGTGTATAAACTTTTCACTCTGCTGGCTTGAGGTCAAACTTTGATTAGTTCCCAAATGAAAGATGTTTGGGTTCTTCACCTCCTGTCTAGTAAATATTTATTCAGATTATAAAACAGCAACAAATGCTGGCACAACCAGCATTCTCTGTTCGAGAGGAACTGTGGGCATTTTTACAAGAAATGCATTGGCAAAGCGATAGGAGAAAGCTTGGTCTATTAATAGTAACTCTGTCCTGAATGCAACCAATGCTCTCAGTTTTATATTCAGAGTTTTTCCAACATTCACCCATAATCAATTTTTTAAATAAGACACAAGTTGGATAGACTAGTTTATGTTTCATTAACCCAGAGAGGAACATTATGATGTAGCAGCATTTAAAAGTTTAAAATATTTTCACACACTGACCTTTTTGCCTTTCCCATTTTTCTTTGGTTCCTCATGAGGTCTGATGAGGCCCTTCAAGCCTTCACATGAGCCATGTAAAACATCATGTCCTGCTGGTCCACTGTTAACATCTAAAACCCAAGTGGATTGAAGATTAGTTAGAACTTGACATGGTCTGAATAATGATACAACTTAAGCAAAACAAAAATCAAAAATTGCATTTATTTACACATAAGGATAACAGGAAACTATAGGCCCTTTAAATAAACACTGCATACTTCTTGCTGTTTGAGATATATTTAGAACTTTCAGTTTATTCCATTCCAATATCCCAAGCAATTTGCTTCACTCAATGGTCAGAAGCAATTTAGCCTGTCAGGTTAGAACATGCTATAGCATCACATTTGCCTAGTTGATAATGTAAGAATATGTATGCCTATTCCTTCTGCACTGTTCAAACTTTAATTCTTAGATTTTAAAATAATGATCAAAACCCAGATCCTCTGAGAATTCAGTTCTATATTAGAAGCAATAAGTAATCTTAGTTTTGGGGGCAATTTGAGTTTTTCTAGAAGAGTCTTCAGTACAAAGCATCTATTTTAATCTACAACTGACAGATGATTGATTCTACCTCCCCAAATTTCCACCACAGACCCACGTCTCGCCATGAAGGCACACAGACCAAAAGGAAGATACTTCAGTGAAATGTGGTTTCATTAGATGCTGAGCTGTGTAGACCTAAGTAACCCACAGTGAAGTGTGAAATGTTTACTTTGAACTGACTTACCCTCTGCTATTGCTTTACATGCTGCTCCTTATTCTTGCTCTTTCCCCCCAAAATAGTCTGCCTACTTTATGACTTAGTTGAGGTTTTGAAGGAGACCTAGCATAGACCATAACAGGGTTGCAACGGTAAAATGCACACCTTGACACAGAGGGCATGTAGCTGCCTATGGTGCACCAGCCCCAGCCAAGTAATGGTTAGCTCAACTGCACATCCCACTCATTTGTTCACTTATCAACAAATAACCGAACGACCACGGGCTGCCCACTGGAGATTCACAATGTACAAGATATTGTCCTAATCTTAGGGAGCTCACAACCCAATAGACAATATAGACGCAGATAAATAAATGTAGGCAAAAATAATGTTACTGCCCTCAGAAATTAAAAATCATATAACATGAGAAAGAATGCTTTGCAGATAGGATGCCAGATACAACTAAGTTTGGTCAGTCTGATTTGAAAATTTTTACTCTTTTCAAAAACAGGGTTCTATGGAAATGAAAAAAAAAATGCAGAACAACAATGGTTAAATGTCTTCTTGAATTTAAACTAGTTATTTGCAGCCTGGGCCCTAGAAACATTTTAAGGTCAGGTTCTGAACCACAAACCAACACTCTTTGCCGTAAACCCTAATACTGAATCCCTTTGGAGATTCAAACAAATCACATTCTGATCCCCCCAAGTCCTTGGACTCTCTTACATAAGGTTGACTTTTACTCATCTCCCTCCTAGTCCTACCTCAGCCCAGATGACTGCCTAACACAGTGATGACCTCAACTAGCTAAATACAGACAGGTGGATCAGAACAGATGGGTTCACAGGCCATGTAAAGGGCATCATGCAGTTGATATTTTGTCCTAAGATCTAGCTAAGTTTCTCACTTTCGCTTAATTTTTTTTTTTGGAGACAAGGTTTCGCTCTGTTGTCCAGGCTAGAGTGCAGTGGTGTCATCATAGCTCACAGCAACCTCAAATTCCTGGGCTCAAGCGATCCTCCTGTCTCAGTCTCCTGAATAGCTGGGACTACGGGCGTGAGTCACCACACCCAGCTAATTTTTTCTATTTTTTTTTTTTTTTGGTAGAGAGAGGTCTTGCTCTTGCTCAGTCTAGTCTTGAACTCCTGGCCTCAAGCAATCCTCCTGCCTCGGCCTCCCAAGTACTAGGATTACAGGTGTGAGCCATGTCACCCAACCTCATTTTTGTTCACTTTCCAGGTAATCTGTCCTGGAAAGTGTCCTGTCTTTCTATCTATCTTCCCATCATCTATGTATTACTTTCTACTACTTTCAACGATCTTTTTTTGAAAATCCTGAGAATTTCTAGAGTAGGATATGGATACAACCTGTTTTTCATATTTAAGATCAATTATAAGATTAGAATATTAATTATATCCACTATGCATCTATTTTCCTTTTTAGATACAAATATTTACTTAAAGCGAGAGTATATCAAAACAAGAAAAGCAGTGGACTAAAGTTGTAATTTGGGCTGCAATGTTACTGAATCCCGAACAAATCTGCAGCTTCCTAGTGTATTAAAAAAAAAACCATTTTAAAATGGCTACCTCCTTCAGTTTGTGCTGAAAAATGAAACAGGCTGTAAAGCATTTTCTAAACACAAAGCTCTAGGAAATGCATCACAACCTTTTAAAACTTAGACTAACACTGCTAATGACACATTTTTCACAATTTCCCAAATAATGCAGTCACAAAATGATCCAAGTAAATAATTTATTTGGTTATTTAAAGCATTTCACAAACCCTGCCACAGTAATTCACCAATGTTTTCTTTAAGGACGCTTACCAGTAAGCCAAAAGCAGTGAAGCGCAAGTACCTCGGAAAGCATTTCTGAAGAGTGGTGAGATGCCATTTCTGTCTAGATCAATAAAGAGTATCTACTCCCCTCTTCCCGGCTCTCCCGACTCTTCCTGCTTGCTCCCAATGTGCAGCTTCTTCGTGGGTTGTCATCAGCTCTCTTCCAACCCCCCAAGGTGACTTCACCACTTCCCATAGTCACCCATTACTGAAGAGTCCTAATTCTATGCACCTTGTCCAGACCTCCCCGCTGAGGTATGGCTGGATACATCCAACTATCTCATGGACATCTATTTTGAATGTCTCAGAGAAATCTCAAATAACATGTCAACATACCCCAGAGTTTGATGAATGCCTGTCTTCCTTCAGCTTGGGTTACCATAACAACATACCACACATTAGGTGGCTTGAACAACAGCAATTTATTTTCTCAGTTCTAGAGGCTGGAAGTTCAAGATCCAGGTGCCAGCATGCTTGGGTTCTGGTGAGGGCTCTCTTCTTGGCTTGCAGACAGCCACCTTCTTGCTGTGTCTTCCCATGGCAGACAGAGGAAGCGAGCTCTCTGGTGTCTCTTTTTATAATGGCACTAATCCCATCATGAAGGCCCTCATGACCTCATCTAAACCTAATTATCTCCCAAAGACTCCCCCCACCTTCAATCCAAATACCATGCCAGTGGGGGTTAGGGCTTCAACACATACAGCTGGAGGGACACAATTCAGCCCACAGCATCTCCCTACCTAAGCCACAGATCCTAGACTCCTTTCTCTCCCTCCACTTCATTCTACCTTCATTCTACACATGACTCATTGACTTACTTTTCAGAAAATGACAAAATACAGAGAGAAACAAACCCCACTGCCCAAGAATTTTTATCATTAAGTTATATTACCTGAAATTTCACTGTTTAGAAATTTGTTTGGGTTAATAATATTATCAAAATACAAACACATCAAAGAAAGTTAGCAAATGGTCATTCATTCACCTCATTGTGAATTAGGTAAATCACAACCTTCACCTACTCAACAGAGACAAGGATTGATCCTGAGGGAAAAGAATTTTGAATGTGATCACTCTGGAGGCAGAGCCAGGCCAAGGCAGCATTTGGACGTGTGTAACTTAACATATTGACTGCCATGTGAGTTGTATTTAACTTATGCTAGTTTTGAGCCCAGGGCCTCATGAGGCATGTATAACTCACACGTCTCTTTACCTATGGACAATTTAATTTTAAAAATGTGGATTAAATGAATAGAAGTAAATAAATTTCATTTTTCTATTTATGTTTACCTTTAAATTACACTGGAGCCTGACAAGTCAAGAAAAACACTTTACCCTTAATGAACTATTTTTCAAGTTTTCACATTGTTAATTTTCAAGTTTTTATATTACCTTTTTTTGATGATGTAACAAATTTTTCATTAAATTAGAAAGGAGTGTTTTGTTTTCGAAGTTTTTATTCTATTTTCATAATAAAACACCGTGGCCCCAAGAGAAATTTTTTTTTTCTAGTGTGGCAGTCAACGTGTTAAATACTAGGAAAGGGAGAGAGATGAAGCACTGTAAGAGAATCTTGGCTGCATCAAAGTTTTGCCTAGAGCCAAGGCTTAAGAAATAAACTCTTATTTCTAATATCTATCTTCCCGCATATCCTACTTTCCTACTTCCAAGGCACAAAATTAGGACTAATAATGCTAGTACTAATAAAACATTTAAACAGTTAATATTTATTTATAAAAGGCACTCTGCAAGAGTCAAAATTAAAAAGGCAACTGAAGGCTCATTTCATATCCATAATTTTTTTGCTATAAGTTTGATGGGGTAAAAAAAAATCTGTACTTTTAACATATAAAAAAGCATATACAACATTTTACCATTATCCCAATGGGAAATTTCTTCCAAGCCCCCAAAATTTGAATAACAAATTATTTAAGAATAATATAGAATGTATCTTAAGATTGTGGAAAGAACCTTAAAAGACACCTAGAAAAAAACTCCTTTCCAAATATACCTTTGGGATATATACAAGTTACTCACAGGTTTTGTACCAGGCAAAACCCAGCTAACAAAAACCTGTACTCATATTCATCGTTAGAATATCAAGTTCACTTTGTTAACTATGAAAAAAATAAAAACAAAATCATTACCTTCAGTAGATAATTGAAATTCTTTCCTTTATAATCATTGTAGAGAATTAAAATATAGACTTTATGTATGTAAGTTAGTTTCAATGCTACATACCTTTTCCACTGGGAGTAATCTGTTTTTTGAATTCCCTAATACTTGTATACACAGACTGTCTTGACTGTACCTTCTCCACTTGTCTAAGCTCCTTTAGGAGATAGGGCTTCATATTAATCTTACTCTCACTGTGTTTATTTGAATACCTCGAACATAGTAGATACAGAATAAACATCTGATTAATGAAAAATGAGTAAGTAAATGAATGAACAAATCAACCAATCAGTTAAATAATCAACAGCCTTCCTTGTGGTCAGCCTTCCTGTTAGGGCTGACTACTCCACATTGAA